CTTGTTGTTGATGATATCACTGGCTGCTCCCTCTCCACAGGTCTCTGACCCTGAAACCTTTTCAACTCCTCTTTCTTAGCTGCCTCCCAGGTCCAGCTGTTACCTGTCTTCTGAGCTGTTTCTGGTTTCTCTTCCCTATGTCCCAGGCAGGCCATAGATTCAGTCCCAAAGGCATGCCTTGTTAAGGGCCTCAGCGATGCACACTGCCTCGGGCTACAAAGGAGACAAAGCCCAGGTTTCCCAGCTGCTGGTGTTGATTCATGGGAGGAGCACTTGAGGACTTTCTGGAGCACTAGTTCTCCACCTTAGCTGCCCAGAATCCATGGAGGGCTTGTTAATACTTAGAGTCTCCAATCTGGCGGGTCTGGGTGGGCCTGAGAATCTGCATCCTCACAAGCCCCCTGGTGATGCTGTGGATTCGGGACCCCACCCTGACAGCCTCTGTCCTTAGGCATCTTCAGTTGTACTCACCCTAGGGTTACTATGAGTCGGAATCAACTCAAAGACAATGTGTTGTTTTTTTTTTTTCTTGTCCAGACAAGGACCTTCAAGTCAAGCACAGAACAAATGAGCAGCCTTACCTATTTTCTTTGCATGATGAAATTAAGAATCAGCTAGAAGGTGGGAGAGCGAGAACTCAAACCAGGGACTTGGGGTTCCCGCCTTAGCTCTTGAAGACTGAGGTGTGGCTTCTCACCCACCTGGCGCCTTCCTGATGCACTGTAGATGTTTCTCAACATCGTCTCCAGGGCCCTGTAGCTCTGGGTGTGTACTGTGGTTAGGAGTGTCTGCTCAGAAGAGCATTCTAAGGCCTCTCCAGGATTAGATGAGGGATACGTGGACTGCATCTGGAACAGTACCTGCCGCTGCACTCACTCGATAGAGGCCAGTGTTCTGTATCACAGACCGCCCTCAGCAACTCCCTACCAGTGCCTTGCGGGACACTCTCATTTGGTGTCCGTACTGTTGCCTGGCAAGACTTAACAGGAGAGAACCAAGCTGATCATCTGAAGTAGGTCTGAGCTGAAAAATCAACACCCCAGCTATTTGGAGAGGAGATATGACTACCAGCCTCAGAAGGGTAAAATCCAGGTGGGCCTGGTGGGTGTGTGTATCCAACCAACTGACTTGACAAAAATAATAATGAAGTGAATAAAAATATCAGCTTGTATTTTTGAAGTCCTTTTATCACCCCTAATATGGGCTGAGTATTCTAAGACCACTTTCAAGGACAAATGTAGAAAGACATTGGGTGACTGACTTATCCAAGATCACAGATTTATACAATAGTAGGATCTCATGCCAGTTTGCCTAAGGCCTGGCTGAGAGCTAGTTCTCAGACATTCCATTCTCATATGTCAGAAGAATTTAATGAGTAAGAGAGTGGTCTTTGAGAGATGCAGAGAATCTTATCATTGGGACAAGTCTCCGTACATTATCAAGTCCCCTTCCTTTTTACAGAAGAAGAAACTGTGGCCCAGAAATAAAGACCAAGCCTGGTCATGCAGAAGTGGGAGAAGATACCCCATCTTCTGCTTTCCAGACCTCTGAGGGGCCAGAGGCCCAGCTTGAGTTGGCTTGTAAAGCAGAGATGTATCGAGGGGGTAACACAAATATCTAACCGGCTAATGAATGCAGGGAATGGGTGGGATTTTATATTCCAAATGATTTTTTTTTCTTTTGAATGTAGACATCTGGTGTCATATAAATAACATGCAAAATGTAAATATTGTAAAACTCATTAGAGAGTGGTTTTAGGGTTGGTAGGAGCACGGGTCAGCTGCTGCTGGGACTGCACAGTGTGGGAAAGCGCCACCCCACACGTGGGTGTTCCCGTCTCTGAGTACATCACCCGTGTCACTGCGCCTGCGAGCAGGGCTTACCTTACAAACACACATGAAAAGCACGGGTCAGTTTTCTCATATTTATTATATTGCATTAACAGTTTTAAATACCTCCCTAAAAACCTTTCTACTTTCATTTTACACATGGGTTAAAAAAAAAAAAAACACTCCATGGAGGGAGAGTATCATAATTTTCATAGTAAGGGCTACAAATTCCCATGCACACCAATTAAGCCTTGAGACACCGACGCGGCCAGGTTTCTAATATCAGGTTTAAAATGCTCTTCAAAAGACGTTCTCTGTTCGAGACATATTAAACAAGCTTTATTTAATAATGCTCGATTTGACTTATCCAATTTAAATATTTGCTCTGATCACCAACCATTTGATCCTGGCTTCGTTTCAGGCTGAAGAATAATTTCTCTGGGTTATTTTTCTTCGGTGCAAGGTTGATCCTGGAGGCAGAATAGTTGCTCTCGAGTTCCCTGCGTTTCTCTAATCTGCGCTGTGGCTAGAAAGGAATAAAGCCATACAAAGCTTGAACTGAAGGCTGCTTTTATAATGTTTACATTCATTTGTCCTCAGGTCTGTCTGGCTGAAGACAGAAGATATCATTTAAAGGCTCCTCCTAGCCAGATAATTATAAGGAAAGATTTTTTTTTTTTTTTAAAGTAGGACATTTGAATGCAAAGAAATTCCCAAGGAGGTGATCTTCCTTGAGGTCTATTCCACCAACCACCCTCCGCTTTCCCGGCATTTGCGAATTGTTCTAACAATCGCATACACCAAAGGATGGCCCTCCATAAGAGCCAAGGAATTTAAGTCGGCATGGAGAGGGAGTTACTTTTATATTATAATTCGGTACGTTTTCAGAGAGGGAAAGCTGCTTTCATTTCTACTAACTTTGGGGATTTTTTTAATAGATGTTTTTATTATTGTTATGACTATTAATATGATTTTACTAACATGATATAAAAAACAAACCTTGAATTTTATCTTCGCAAGCTGCCTTTGAAAACAGCCCCGGTCACCTTCCCCGGCTGTTGTAAAGCCATTCATAACGACAGAACATCTGACTGCTTCGCTCCTGACACCAGCTCGAGAGCCGGTGGGTCGCGAGGGTCCATTATCTAAGCTGCCCCCATAAACAGAATCTGCTCCCAGGCCGTGCAAGGGGTGGAGGGGATCTTTTCCAGTGAAAGACGCATTTATTAGGCAGGGCAGTGCCTGGTTCATCACTCCCGGCCTGGCGGAAAGATGCCGCGCCGCAGCAGCCTGCGTCCTGCCCGAGTGTTTACTGCTGCGTGATTTACACCCTCCAGGTGTTCGCTCGGGGAACATCACAGCTCGGCTGACACCATGATTGCAGTGGATTTGCAGACATGGGTGATTTTCTATTCATAACGGTCTGGGTGCCAAGAAGATATTTTTTAAACGTGCTGGCCCTGTGATTGTCATCTGAGAGGCTAAGCCACTGCTTGAGCAAAATGCCCAGTGCCCCCTGCCCAGGTGGGCAATAGCACCCTTCCCGCTCTCCCCCTTGGCTCCTCAGGCTAATGTCATCCCTCAGCTCTTGCTCCTCAGACCTTTGGTAGCTGCAGAGATGTTAAGCCAGGCTTCCTCTCTGCCGTTTTAGCACCCTGGTGCTTTCCAAAGTTTCTCATCTGAATCGAGAATCGGGGATCTCAGGTCGCATACACTTTTTAAAGAAGGAATCTATGTTCTCATCACCCATGGAAACAGCCATTATCAGGGTGCTTAGCATCTTGGGATGCCAATTTTCAGGAGTTTCTTTCTTTCACAATAGAACCACTTTCTTTTTCTTTTTCCCCCTCATATTTAAATGCAGGTGGTGCTGCGATTGTTTTGCTCCTGGGTTTCCACTGGGAATCCTAAACATGAGTGCTGGGACAGCCTTGTATAATCTGAACGCCGAATTAAAACACGTTACAAGAAATCAGGACATTCTTTTGTTTGTCTTAAAACATGCATATATTTTAAAATTTCCTTTAACCTAACTCATCCTACCTCCGTTTAAAGGCATTTGGGCATT